ACACACACACACACACACACACACACACACACACACACACACACACACGCTCGCCGCCTCGCGCGCACCCGCGACACAATACAGACTTCCCAACCACAAACACACGCGCGCACCCCCGAACCGACAGAGTTCTGTATTTCCTCTTCCTCAAAGCCACTCATGCAATTGTGGCCGCCCCTCTCTACTCCTATTCCAGGGCTCCCAGCGCTCCACGGCCCCCCTTCTCCGAAGGCGCGCCCAGAGCGACCCCTCTCCAAAGCCAGGATCTCTCATCGAAGCCCCCCGTTGCCTCCTCTGGTCCCAGTGGGGACCTCAGCGTGTCCACGGAGGCAAGCGTTTACTAACAATCGCCCTAGAGCTCACAACTGCCCTAACAGCCCCCTCTGCCCTTCCATCCCCTCTAGCCCATCACCGCGCTCGCCGGGGGATTACCTCCCATCTGCAAGTGCCGGAAAAAAACCAGGAGTCCGAGCTTCCAGCCCCATCTTCAGCACAGTTTCCTGGGTCTCCAGCCCCAGGAATCTTGACTCCAAACCCCCTGCCCCCGACACCCCTGCGCCACTAGCGCAGCCCTCCGGCGCCCCCCTCCAGCCTGCCCTGCCCGAAACGTCTCCGCGGGTTCTTGGGCCCCGGGCCCTGCTCTCCATCCCGGGAGCACCACCTCCACCACCCCCTCCCTCCGCGCCCGCTCCCACACCAGCCCCAGCTACCCAGACTTACCCAACTGCAGAGCGCCCCGGCGCGCCCGCAGCCCTCACCCCTGTGGTGCGTGGGAGCCACCCCTGCCCAACCCGCGGCTCCCCCAGAGAGGAAACAAAAGTGTCTCCGCGGCGCCCAGAGTCCCCGGAGTAGGACGCCTACTCCCTGCCTCAGCCCCTGCCTGCTCCCCGGCCGCGCTGAGGTCAGCGAGTCGGGGCACGGCGCCAACCCAGGAAACTTTACGAACCTGCCCGGGGTCGCAAGACAGCGTTGGCGGCGGCGAGGGGTCCCAGCGCTCAGAGCCTTGGCGACCCGCTAGTGGCGGCTGGAGGCTCTGACGCCCAGCTCCGGGCCGCGATGTGTGGGTGGCTGTGCCTCTATCCCGTGCCCATCCTCGCTCGCTCGAGCACACGCACTTACACTCCGCGTCGGCCGGCTGCTGTGCCGCCGGCTGCCGCTGCTCTCACTTCCTCTTCCTTCCTCCTGCTGGCCAGAGACACATTTTGCATCTGCAAGGCATCCGGACATCAGCTGCGAACTCTCTTCCCGAGCGGACTCTGCGGAGTTGCCGCCGCCGCCACTGGCACCTGCCCGCGCTGTGGTGCCTGCCCTCTGCACTTTTCCTGGGGTGGTGCCCACGACTTTTTGAAGTCCCCCTACTTAAAAAGAGGAAAATGTCAAACACCGTGCATGCCTCAGATCTGCTATAAATAGTATGTGTGCAGAGCATGATTCTCAGATGAGCTCACACACTGAGTATTGCAGGCACTAATTAACTCCGTCACCTTCATAGCGCCACCTCCGGGAGGCCGAGAACGCGTGGCATCTTTCAATGTTTTCATTTTTGGCAACTGGTTTGGGGATTTAAGGGGAAACTTCGGTGGGCCGTTTCAAAGCTACTTTAAAAGGGGCTGCTGTGTCTCGTTGGACGCCATGCCTCTACCCTTGGAGAGCGTGGCAAAAAATAACAACAGAACATTTCCTTCCTCTCCCAGTTACCGTGCATAGGGACTCTGCAATTAAAACTAAAGATTTAGTTCTAATCAATTAAGCCAGGACTCCCTAGTTTTGCATAACGCTGCATAAAATCAAGACGTTTTACCCCAACGTGATATTTAAGGTACATTGTTTAATTCATGCAGCCTACTTCAGTCATGTTCCAAGCAAAAATCAAGCACCTAACTCCCAGCATAGCTGGCAGGAGGGAAATGACAATTGTTGGAAGATTGCAAGAAACACCTGTCCTCTCAGAATTTAGAAATATCTACACTGGCTCTCCCAGAAGAGGCAAAGGCAGTTGCTATGCTCTCCTTTCTAGTCAAGAAGGAGACAAGTTGGGGGTAGGGAGGTGTCAGAATCTAAGATGGAGAGTGCTCCTCTTTAAGAATCAATCTCTGTCCCCCAAGAGATTTAATAGTTAACCCTGTGCTGGCTGTTTAATAGAAGCCAGGAGCCACATGTGACTGTTGAGCACTTGAAACATGGCTAGTTCTGAGATGTTCTTTAAGGATAAACCGCACACAGGAATTAGTCTGAAAAATCAAGTGTAAAATAGCTGGTTAATAACTTTTATATTGATTGCATGTTGAAATGATAATATTTTAGGTGTATTGAGTTAATACATTATTATATGTTTTTGTTAGTTGCTGTTGAGTTTATTATGGTGACTCTACGTGTGCAGAGTAGAACTGCTCCATAGAATTTCAAGGCTGTGACCTTTTGTAAGCAAATCACCAGGCCTGTCTTCCGAGGCACCTCTGGGTGGGTTGGAATGGCCAACCTTCGGTTAGTAATGGAGTGCTTAACTACTTGTACTACCTGGAGACATAGATAGAAAGATAGGTAGACAGACAGACAGATAGATAGAAAGTTGTATATATACATATATATGTATACATACATATATAACAGCCCTAATGAACCCCTTATTAAATGCACAAACCTTGGGAGGCAGTATTAGTAGCAAGAATACCTGGGTCTAGATGGTTACAAGTCAGTGATTTGAAGCATGGTGACTCCAGGAAAGTAATTTCTCTATTTCCTCATCTGTAAAATGCCAGTGATATGATAATAACTGTCAGCAGTGCAACTATTAAATGAGATAATTTAATAAGCAGTCAGTAAATGCAAGCTTGACTAATGAAGCTATGAGACACTTGTAGTAATAAGTATGAATTTGATCCACGGCTTTCCAGCTAAGGCAGATAAAGGTTGTAGTGAGACATGGTGAGCATGCAGCAGTGTTACCTGTCATAATTGTCCCAAGGAGATAGGGAACTCTGTGTCATATCTTTGCACAGCAATCATACTACAATCCCTTCCGTATAACCTTTGGCTCAGCTCTACACTCTGAAGTCAACGTGGAGTAAGTCACATCCTTCCTCCGTGAGATGACCTTTGAGATCTTTGAAGATAGCCCTCACATTCTACCTAAACATTGTCTTCTAAGAGTTACACGTCCCCAGTTACTCCAACTCCTCTTCACGTGAGATAGTATTAAATCTCCCTCATCTTAACTATCCTTCTCCTGAGGGATGCCTGTCTCTGCCTTAAAAAAAAAAAAAATAGCTGTCATATAGATTAATTAGCTAATTAACCACTAACAAACACAATTCATCCCTAGGTCTTGTCAATTTTTTCCCCCCAGATACATCTTACTGTTGATCCAAGTATAAGGGGAAAACTGGAAATTCTTTCTTATTTATTTTGGTAGGCCATGTCCATGCTTAGGGAGTTTGTCTTTGGGACCGAAGCTCCTAGTCCAGCTTCTCTGAGTCTCTTTGGGTTGGATTCATATATCCAGTGTCTCCCTCAAATTATGTAAGAACACTAGGGTCCTTGGGGACACCCACTTGAGATCTCCCTTCCCCATAGTGGGAATTGGCATTCTTCCAGTACACTGGTTCATTCAGTTATTAATGACCTTCATTAGTGTACTATTGACCAAGCTTATTTTTTCATTATATTCATAAAGACATCTCAGAGGTGTTGTCAGGTGCTTTAGAGAAATCCACCTTCACCCTGGGCTCATCTGGTAGTCTGCAGTGGGCACAGTAGCGTGGTCGGTGCGGTGTTGCCATGTACAAGGGCTCTATGTCTGGACTTGGCTGTTGGCATAAATCCTAGCATTACCATTTACTAGCTGGGTTACCCTATGCAAGGTGCTTAACTCATAAACACTACACCTATCTGATAGGGTTGAGTGAGGATTAAATGAGTTAATACATGTAAAGTCTTTAGAACAGGGCCTGGCACACAGAAGCATTCAATAAATACTAGCTATTGTGATTTTATACGACAGTCTTCTAATCAACAAGTTATATTAGCAGATTCCAAAAAATGAGAAACAGTCACTCCTTCTTTCCATATATCAGTTTCCATCCATGAGGGAGAGAAAGAGCTAATACCATTGTCCCTTTTCAGCTCCTGATCAGAGCCTGGGAAATTCAATCATTTAGGTCAAGTTTTAATAGAGAGGAGGACCATTTTATGGCAAAGATTAGATCCAAGTGTGCTTCCGGTAAGCCCACATGGGCAGGACCTGGACACTCGGTGTAGCTGGGCCAGCGTCATTTGTCTCTAGTGGTTAGGGAAGTCAACTCAGGATCTCCTCTGAAGTCCCACCCATCTTGGTTTCAGACTAAGTGGGAGAAAGGAGAGTAGGCTAGGGATGGCTGGCTAGAGAATAAAATTCACTTAAGCCTCAAGTCTCAACTGCATTCCCCAACTGTGCTTTTACAAGAGAGCTACGCATTGTTGGTGGATGAAGAGGTGTTTGAGGGACTTTCCCAGTTGTTCATACCTTGGTACTGTGATGGTGGAGGACCAGGCAGCATCCTGTTCTGTTATACCGTACGTAAGGTTGCTATGAGTCAGAGCCGACTTTATAGTTCCTAACAACGGTAACTGTGATTCCCATCACTTTATCCTTCCTTGTGTGTACAAAATTGGAGGAAGGAGTGGTAGGATATCTTAACGTCTCTATGAATCCCCAAACTGCAAAAATGATCTGGCATATTTACAATCAATAATGACTTCTGTTGATCAACTCTTTCCTTTCTGAGTGCTCACGAACGTTCATTTCTAATTCATTAAAAAACACTCATTGGACTCCATATGGGCCCTGTGCGTTTAATAATGCATTTAGTGATTTATTTTAGAATTCTGTGCAAAATCAGCATCAAGTTCCTTGATGTCTAGCTTGAAAAATCTATTCTCTTCCCTTGTCTTTGAATCAGGACGATGTTGGCTTGCCTCTCCAGTCTTCAAACAGTTCTACAGGCAGAGTGGCCTCAGCTCTAGGAAGTCACTACACTAGAGGCAACGAGGTCTGGGAAGCAGGCAGAGACACCTGCAGTCCAGAGCCACCAAGGTCAGCCCTGGGACAGGCAGAATGACAAGGAGGTCTGTTTCACAAGGGCATCCATTCACTCAGCCATTCATTAATTCAATGGGCACTGAATACCCATTACATGAGCTATACCAGCAGGAAAGGGGACTACAAGGGTGAGCAAGAGAAACAGAGGGCGCCCCCTCCTGGCACTTATATTCTAGTTAAGAAGGCAGACTTTAAATAAATGTAGTAACACCTGAGGAGTGTTACATTAGGAGACAGAAAGGTGCAGTGGTACCATACGTGGGCAGAGAATGCTAACATCACCTATAAGGTAGGAAGAGTCTCTTGGGGAAGTTCTACTTGAGTTGAGGCTGACTTGAAGGATAAGTGAGTAGGTATTAACCAGGACAAAGTGAGGAAAGTGGAGTAGGCTGGGGCAGAGTTGGGCCCCAGACAGAAAGAGCAGCTCAAATGAACATCTGTAGAAATCATACTGTAGGAGGAACCTTAAAATTCAAGTTGGATGAAGTATGAGAGTATCCAAACGGAATCGTTTCATATTATTTTATCCTTTTTTAAAAATAGATATATTTCTTTTTTATTTTTAAAGACAAAGTAAAGAATATTGACACGTCTACCTTAACTGTCATGGAACAGATTAATAACTATTACAAGTGCAATGACTATTAATAAGGGTTTCTTTTATGGAGCATTTAGTACGTGCCAGGCACTGTTTAAGAAAAGTACTCATCCTTTCGTCCTCATTCGATAGGTTGAGAGAAAAAAATGCAGTTCTATTCCCTAGAGGTCAACACACATAGTCATTTCTGTTTTTAATTCTTTTGGTGATTAATGCCATACTTCTAATAGTTTATACCAACATTTCTTGATTTAGCAACTTCAGATGGTATATATTAACTCACTTCTATGAAAGATTTTAAGAACTTTTGCTTACTTAACCCCCTTTCCTAATTCTATGTTTATTTCATTGCTTATATAATCAGATATTATTCATTTATAGACCTTCTGTTACACAGACCTTCTGATTATTGTTCATGTCATTTAACTTTTTTCTTAT